CGCTGCACAATGTGACGAGCGGGCTGTACAGCCGGCCGGCCGTGCCGCGAGGTGGCCGAGAAGGCGATCCCGGATCATCTGCATGACGCTCGACGTGCCGATACCCGAGAAGAGGGCCCGGGGGAAGAAGGGCGACAAGAACAAGGAGGCGAACGCGAAATCGGAAGACGAGACGCAGACGACGACGAAGAAGAGCACTGCGGGTACGGCAACGGCCCCCGACCCGCCAGCGAAGAAGAGGCGCGTGGCCGATGAACCCGCCGACGAGGCGGCCTCGGCCAGCGACAGCTTCAACGGCTTCAGCGATAAGGACGACGACGGCCGGGACGCCGGCGACAGTGGCGAGGACGACGAAGAGGCGGCCCTGTCCAGGATGGCGGACATGCTGGGAAGCTCGGACGACGAAGAGGAGGACGTCGAGGCGGTGCGCGCCAAGTACAGCGCTCTGCTGGGACAGCAGCCAGACACGGAAGACGCCGACGACGAGAGCGACGACGTCGACGACCTGGATGACCTCGCGGCGATGGACGAAGACGAAGACGAAGACGAGGCGGATGAAGCCGAGTCAGAGGAGGAGGAGCTAGATGACCAGCAGGGCATGAACAGCGAGCGCCGTAGGATGCTCGAGGCCAACGCCTCCCCTCCGCCGGCGGCGCCCGCGCGCCAGCCGAAAGAGCCAAAGCCCGTCAAGGCCGGCGCCACCACCTTCCTGCCGTCTCTCATGGGCGGCTACTTTTCCGGCTCCGAGTCGGCCTCGGACGTCGACGTCGCGCCGCCCAAGAAGCGCCTCGGACAGCGGCAGCGACAGGCCATTGCCGAGCGCAAACACGGCGAGATGGCGAACCACATGCGGAACGAGAAGAAGAAGAAGCAGCAGGGCGGCCGCGACGACGGTTGGGACATGAAGAGGGGTGCTGTCGACAGCGCCGAGGGCAAGGGGCGGAAACCGTGGAGGAAAGAGGGCGGCAAGGAGAAGGAGGGCGGCAAGGGCGGCCGCGCGGCGAAGCCCGTGATGAACCGCAAGGAGAGGAGGAGGCTGAAGTTGCTGAGCAAGGATGACCAGGGCGAGCTGCACCCGAGCTGGCAGGCGCGGAAGAAGGAGAAGGAGGCGCTGCAGAGCGCGGCGTTCCAGGGCACCAAGATAACGTTTTAGCTGCTGAATACCACCCTTTTCCCGAGTTCCTGTTCTGCAACCTCCAGACTCGATCTGCCTTTCCTAAGCGATCTACCTTCCAAGCGATCTGCCTTCCCAAGCAGGCAACTTTCTTGGGGGGCGAACAGCCTGGGTGAGAAGGTCAAGAGACCTTGCGCGTTCCGAGTAGATCTACCTCTGCCTTGCTGAACCCTGGCAGGGCTCACTTCAATAATACGATCACGTTGTTCTGCCTATCTTGGGCGCAGTGCTTCAGTCCGGCCGGTGTGGAATCTTGCCACAGGTTTTTCAACCTTCCCACGTTGCGTCTCCGACCGTCTCTTCCTACGTGCCTGTTTCACCTCACTTCTTCCTCTGCCACTTTCTACTTGATTTGTGCCTTCCTGACTTGACCTCTTCTGCACTAAACCCTCAGTCTGCCTTCCTACCTCACCTCTCCTATTGACCTATTTCTACCTAGGTACCTTACCTCTTCTACTTTACGTCTTCCGACCCCATCCTTCCAACCTCAGTCTTCCAACCCCACGTCTTCCTATTTTACGCCTTCCCACCCTATCTCTCCAACCTCACTTCTTCTTATCTTACGCCTTCTAACCTCATCCTTCCTACTGGACCTCTCTCTTGCTTCACGCCTCCTGACTTCACCTCTCCTATCTACTTGGTATCTTCTGACTCTACTTATTTCGTCTACCCAACCTCATCTTACCTACCCACGCTGCTTCTCCTGTCTACCTCAGCTCCTCAACTTGGACCGCAGCAGCCCCTGCGAGCTGAGAGCAGCACCTTCCTTTACACATGCCCCCATGCTCTCTACTTGGTGTTTACCTCTGAGCCCACCTTTTTCTACCCGACTCATCGCAGTCAACGCGGTGCAAGGTCTTCCTGCTCATCTTCACCTCATATTCAGCACAACGCAATCTGCGAGTTCTGTCTTGGCGTTTATCTCTTGCCTTCTCAAATCTGCTGAGGCAGGAGCACCACTTTACAAACTCAAGTCATGAGTTGTGGCCTTGCCCTGTGAAGTCGGACGCAATCATCTTTCTGCCATATCTTCTCGACCTCGCAGCAACTCACTCCGGGTTATTCCTTTTCACTGGAATCTCCCCTGATTGCCTTTTCTTTTCCTATCACATCTACTCATCCTCATAAAAACATCCCTTCCCTGCTCACCCCTATCTGCCCGTCCCAATCCAACATCTTGGCCACACCCTTTCCTTGCGTTCTCGACTATCTCAATATCAAACATCTCGCACATCTTACACGCTCAGCAACTCCAAGCGCATACATCTTTTTCACTCCTCTTTACACAAATGGTCCGATTCGGATTTTTTCACACTTTACCATATATTGCACATATTTGACATTTAGTGGCGGCCAGCTCGGTCCCTTTCACCATGTCTGACGCAGGTCGTGACCCCACTGGGGAGGAGATGAACGACTTGCTCTCTGGTGCTGATAATCAAGGTCCCGGCGGCAATGATAATCTACCAGCCGAAGAAGCTGAGCCGGGACCCGAGGCACTGGAGCGAGCTCAGCCGGGCAGCATAGCGGATGCGGTGGCCGCTGGAACTCACGCAGATGACGACCCAATCGACTCGAACGTCACCGATGATGGCATCGTGGAAATCAGCGACGATGAGGAGGAGGAGGACGACGACGACATGAGCGATGATGATGAGCCGGACCTCGTTCGAGCCCTCCGCGAACGAATAAAACAACTCAGAGCAGAGGTGATCGGACTTCGGGATGAGAAAGATGGTCTCATCAACGACAAAGAACAGTTAAGCGAGAGAATCAGGGAGCGTGAAGTGATGATCGAGACACGTGAGGCCAGCAACAGCCAGTTGAGGAATCAATTGAACCAGTCGCGACATCCTAGGCAGCGTACCCAGAGGGTAAGACTCCTTGACAGCTTCAGCCAAGCATCATATGATCGGACTGACCATGTTCCTTGTGTAGACTTGGCCCGCCATGTTGCGCGCGTTCTTGGCTGGCGATCCGATGGCTGAGGAGTACCATGTGATCTACAGGCGCATGTGCGAAGAGGAGAATATGAGCATCAAAAGCAGCCTGCTGCACCCGAACCTGAAGCTGCGGGAACCGGACGATGAAGAGCTGGCAGCACAATTGCTTAATCCGGATGGCGATGCCCCTGGAGAGAACAACGAGATGGGCGACAATCCTGTTAACCATCGTGCGGCTCGTAACGTGGTCGGCGAAGTTGTCACGCAAGCCACGCACGCGACTGATACAGGGGACGAAGAGCTCTTTGTTGTCGAAACAAAAGACAATCACAAGGAACGTCCTCGTCGCTCCTTCGATTCCATGCCGCCGGAGGTTCAGGCCAAAATCGTCAGGCAAGTGCTGGAATATCCAGGTCGCTCGTTCATTGCATTTCACGACTGGACCCTCATTGCGAACTCGGCTCCCTTTCCTCACACCGTAGGACGGGGCTCGAG